CCAACAAGGGCGGCTCAAGGGAGGGGGGGGTAGCTTAAGCCTAGCCCCCCCTCCCCTTTGCTCGGGCCCTGCGGGCGCGCTCTCTCTCTCTCTCTCTCTCTCTCTCTCTCTCTCATATATATATACACATGTATATACCCCAAAGGGGTACGATCGCAATCGAAGAGCGCGGGTATCGAGGTTTTCGGATATACGTGTTCAAAGGCCCGCGAGCAGATAAGAACGAACAAGCTTAAACTGATGTTGATTGGGTTTGTTGATGTACGCTGGTGGCAAACAGCACAATTTGAGCACGAAGACTTTCCTTTATAAAAACCGGGTGCGGACCATGAGGGATTCAGGTCAATGGGAAACGCACAATGTGCACCAGTGAGGGGGAACAGCAATAATCATTACTGCAACATGAAAATCCAACAATCCACACCACGGAACCTCACTTGAGCCACGCGACTGTGAATGAGGGTTTGGCCCCTTCACTCTGAACAATAGGAATACGATTCCGAATACGAGAACTAATACGAATACGAAATGGATAAGCGTAGGAGTAGATAGGCATGGGGATACAATAATAAGGATGGGGATCAGGACGGGAACATAGGATAGGGAGATCAAGGATATAGGTAGGAAGCAGGGCTAGGGATAGGGAAACAACGGGAGGCAACGGGGGTAATCAACATAAGAAAAAAACAACAACGGGAAACAACAAGAGACAACGGGAGACAACAAGTATAAACATGAGATAATGGAACATAGCGGGAGTCAGCGGGAGACAACGGGCGCCATCGGAAGACATTTGTCGCCCGACTGATGCAACGTCCGCCCCTGGTCGCACCCTGCTGTTTACTGTTACTCTTGCTACTCTCTTATAATTCGCTGAGTTTGTTCCCTGGGGCAGTTGTTTACGGAGCCACCACCAAATCAAATAAATGAGAAATTGGAATTCGCTGGCGAGCTATTGTAACACCAGGCCCTTGACCAATCTCGAGAGCGCACCGAGGGACTTAGTGGTTCACCAGAGTCGCCGTCATTAAACTAAAAGTCGCCAATTGCAGTATTTCGCATCCAGGGCATTGTTTTGTCCGTTGACGCGGTCTTATGTCTCCACACGGCGGCAATATAATAGACTTATAATTGCTAGAGCATCAGGGTTTGAAACAGTGTGTCATATGCTCGACGACACAGGCGTCGGCACAACGTATGGGAGTCCGCAGCAGCACCGGGATGGAGGCTGGCTGGAACGCCAGTCTGCAGCTCTCGTCTGGTGGCCCGCCTCAGATGTTGACACTCGTGTGGCAATTGGGGTCGACTCTGGACGCCTCGGTGTGGTCATCGTCCCCGAGGAGGCCACCGATCGAATACTCCACCTTCGACAGGCTGCGGCTGAGGAAGTTGAGATATGCGATGCCAGTCTCGGTGTGACCCTGGATCACCTTCAACTTGACCTGGCCGAATTTCTGCCATCCATGAGTGTGTGACGACGCATCAACCGAGAAGAACATGCCAGCTGGGTACTCGGGCACAGAGGCCCACGCACCTGTCACGTTGATCGACTGGATGTACATGTCTGCGCAAGTGGCCCCAAGCCTCTGGACGTCTGCTCGAATGTCCAGAAGGGTGCGAACCGCCCCGGCAAACCTTGGAATATGAACCAGTGAGTGCAGACCAGGCTGCATCAGGTCGAATCGTTGGCCGTAGACGTTGACCAGATGGGGATCCCCCTTCGCAGAGGCCGCGCTCGGCGTCGGGCTCGGCGTCGGACTCGGCGTCGGAGGATCTGTTACCGTGGTCACCGTAGGGGCTGTAGCAGAATTGCTCACTGCCTCCACACCGAAAGCCGCCGCGCCTGCCACACCGCTCATCTCTGATACGAAATCCTGTGTGTACTCCTCCGCTGAGACCTGCGCCAAATCTGCCGAGAGCGAGTCGACCTGCTGCTGATCGACACCGTCCGAGTCGTCGCCGTCGTCGCCAGGCACTGCTACAGAATACTCCACCTCAATCTCATCCTTCTCATCCGTGTCCGAGGCATCCCTGCGGAGACTTGGAATAGAAAGCCGGACGGACACCACCGAACTAGACGGCAGGGCAGACACCCGGGACTTTCCAGAGCGTTCGAAGGCTCCTCGCACGAAGCTGTCTCCAATGAACGCCGATGAGTAGGCCCGTCTGACCCGGAGGCGGAACCTCCAGGTGAAATAGTACCACCACCTCCAACGGCAAGTCGGGGACATCCACAGGCAGTTGGCGATCGTCCCAGCGGAAAGGCACTGGCCAGAGTACACAGACCACCACGAATTTGACCTGCACCAGTAACACCCCACCGCATATTGGCACGGCTTGCAGGAGGAGTACTTGCCACACGAATTGGCCGTAGGATAGGGCGTGGGATAGGGCGTGGGATACGGTGTGGGGTAGGGCGTGGGATATGGCGTGGGATACAGCGTAGGCGAGGGCGTGGGAGATGGCGTGGGATAGTGCGTGGGATAGAACGTGGGATAGGGGGTGGGATATGGCGTGGGATACGGCGTAGGCGAGGGCGTAGGTGAGGGCGAAGGCGACGGAGTAGGCGAAGGTGTAGGATAGGGCGTGGGGTAGGGCGTGGGATATGACGTGGGATTCGGCGTAGGTGACAGCGAAGGCAATGGCGTTGGCGAGTCCGTAGGAAAGGGCGTTGGCGAGGGCGTGGGCATTAGCGTAGGCGAGGGAGAGGGTGACGCCGTGGGATCGGGCGTGGGCGAGGGCGTAGGCGAAGGCGTGGGCGAAGGCGTCGGCGAGGGCGTTGGCGAGAACGTAGGCGAGGGCGTGGGCATTGGCGTGGGCGAAGGCGTGGGCGACAGCGTAGGCGAGGGCGTAGGCGAGGGCGTGGGCGAAGGCGTCGGCGAGGGCGTTGGCGAGAACGTAGGCGAGGGCGTGGGCGAAGGCGTGGGCGAAGGCGTGGGCGACAGCGTAGGCGAGGGCGTAGGCCACAGCGTAGGAAAGGATGTAGGCGAGTGCGTAGGCGCGATCGTGGGCGAAAGCGTAGGCGAGGTCGTAGGTGAAGCGGAAGGCGATGGCGTTGGAGAGTCCGTAGGTGAGGTTGTAGGCGACAGCGTAGGCGAGGGAGAGGGCGCGAGCGTGGGTGAAGGCGTAGGGGAGGACGTAGGAGAAGGCGAAGGGGATGGCGTCGGCGAGTCCGTGGGCGAGGGCGTTGGTGAAAGCGTGGGCATTGGCGTAGGTGCCGGCGTGGGCGAGATCGTAGGCGAGGGAGAGGGTGACTCCGTGGGGTAGGGCGTGGGCAAGGGCGTCGGCGAGAGCGTTGGCGCCGGCGTGGGATTCAGCGTGGGCGACGGCGTGGGTCCAGGCGTCGGCGAGGGCGTAGGCGATGGCGTAGGCACGGGCGTAGGCGAAGGCGTCGGCGAGGGCGTTGGCGAGGACGTAGGCGAGGGCGTGGGATACAGCGTTGGCGAAGGCGTGGGTCCTGGCGTGGACAAGGGCGTAGGCGAAGGCGTGGGAGAGGGCGTGGGCGGTAGCGTAGGCGAGAACGTAGGCGAGGGAGTGGGCGAGATCATAGGCGCGGGAGTAGGGGAAGTGGCCAACGCCACCAGGTTGACAGTGGGTGTGGGAGTCGCGTCATTTGTGACACAGCCTGTGCAGTTTGCGGCCGTCAGGAGATCCCACCTCTGCGCAGCGGTCATGGACCCCGCCGTAGGATACGCCTCATACATCCTGGCCGCGAGGCCGGACACGTGCGGACAAGCCATAGATGTGCCCGTGTTGAAATACGTCTGGGTGTCGCTGAATGGGCCCAGCGAAAGGATGTTCGTGCCTGGAGCATAAACATCGATGCAAGAGCCCCAGTTGCTGTACGAAGACCTGTCCCATGAGCTCCCCGAAGCCCCACCGAAAGCAGCTACGGTGATCGCCGACGAAATCCAAGCTGGATTATAAGTGCACGCGTCTGCGTTGGCGTTCCCTGCAGCCACCACCACGGTCACGCCATCGGCCACCAGGTTGTCGATGGAGGTTTCCTCTGCGAAGTCATTGTAGTTGGCCTGGATACTGATGCTGACTACCGCTGGTCTGTTCCCAGACGACAAGATCCACTGCTCGGCTAGAATTGACCATGTAGTCCAGCCAGAGCCTGCGTTATTCAGGACCTTCATTGCGTAGATGGAAGCGCCATCTGCGACGCCATACGTCGAGGCCCCCACCGATCCCGCGCAATGGCTGCCGTGCCCATGCTGGTCGTCAGCGCACGTTGTGCTGGACGGCGAGCACACTGTGAGAGTGCCTGGGTACGTCCCCGAGGCGGCGACGTCCACTCCGGCGAAGGCCCGACCGCCGAACTCGTTGTGGGTGATGCGAATCCCGGTGTCCAGCACGTACACGCTCACCCCCGCGCCTTTCCCACGGACCACGTCCGCATTGAGGTACTGAATGCCCCATGGGTAGGTCCGTCGCTCCGAGTTCGAAGCCTCTTCCATGACCGGCGTTTCCACCCTTTGCTCGAACCGATCCTCTACGACAAACTTCAGACGACCTGGGTGGTTGTTGATGAACGAGTGGAGGCTACTTACATCCATGCTCCCCATCACCATGGGCACCTCGCCCATGCTCGCGTGTGTCGCAAGGCCGTTCGGCAACTCCTTGCTCATGGTCACGGTCTCCTCTTCTGTTGCGTCGCTTTGCAACATGATCATCCACGGGCGCGCTACACTGATACTGCCAGCGGCGGCGGCACCACTCATTGGTGAAGCGGCGTAGATGGGCACGGAAGCATATGTGAAAAACTCCCTCCCCGATGTGTCCCTCGACTGTGTCGCAACGGTCATCTTGGACGCATCGGGTTTCTGGGTCGACAGTCGATCATCTCTTGACAACGACTGCGTCTGGCCCGAGCTCCGCGTCTGAAACAGTCTGAGGTCGTCTGCAGGGGCCAGGCCACAGGCGCCGAGAGCCTCGACCAAACTGACGACCAATAGATGGCGCATCATCCACAAACGGAACTGAGCTGATATGTATGGTCAAAAAAAAGGTGTACGCGTGTGTGATGGCTACCTTTGGTCTGTGCAAGCGCCTTGATCTAGATGGGCTTGAGCCACAATGGCTACGGTTCGCATCCAAGGCATTCTGGGGCGGCACCGTCGCCAGGAATTCGTTTGCTGAAATGAACAACTCGACCGTAGAAACAAGATGTGGGACTCTTCCAGATAAGCCGTTTATGGAACAAGCTTGCGCGCTGGCGCACTCTAAGAGACTTCAAGTGCGGGTCGAAAGATTCTCAGTTCGCCGTTGCCTCCAGCTTGCAATGTGCTGGCTTCCAGGAGCGCTTGCAAGGCCCCGTTGAGGGTACTCCGGAGGCACGGCCTCCCTGGAAGAGCCGCCATCTCTAGCCTAGCCGAACAAACAAACAAACACTGCGTAAACACGGATGCCCACGCGGATGTCTTGAGACGGCTGCTGGACCCCCCCCCTCTTGGTGTGGTGAGCGAAGGGGCAGCGCAGGAGGCGCCGCCCTGGGGTCGAGCACCGACCCAAGAAATCCGCGCGAGCCGATGGAAAGTTATGAATTTACTGCTTGTCCCTCCAATGAATGCTTACACTCAGGGGATCTCGCGTGTGTGACTGAGGAGTTGGACGAGCATGCCAGAATTTCTGGTGGTGCCTCATTGGTGGGCGCCAGCGGGCCACTCGTGGGCGCCCCGCGCTTGGGGGTATGCCGAGGTTTCGCCTGGTGTCCGCCCGTGGGTGCTCGTGGGAGGTGCCACTGGCCGGGGCGCCCACACTCGAGCATGGGTCACTATAGGGCCTTCGGCGGATCTCCCTTTTAGGGCCACGAAACGTGCGAGGCGCGTGCCCGCATGGGTGGGGCAGCCGCATGTGGACATGGCCACTGGGGTCTTCGGAGGAGCTTCCGAACGCACAGCGAATCGTGTGAGGGGTGTGCCGACATGGGTGGGGTGGCCGCATGTGGACATGGCCACTTGGGCCTGCGGTGGAGCTCCCTATGGAGACACGAAACGTGTGAAGGGTGTGCCGACATGGGTGGAGCGGCCACATGCGGACATGACCACTGGGGCCTTCGGTGGAGCTCCACAGGGCACAGTGAAACGTGTGAGGGGTGTGCCGAAATCGGTGGGGCTGGCGCATCTGGACATGGCCACTGGGTCCTTCGATGGAGCTCCCTACGGGACAACGAAACAAAACGCGTGAAGCATCTGCCCATGTGAATGGCGCGGCCGCGTGCGGACTTGACCACTGGAGCCTTCGGTGGAGCTCCCTAAAGCACAACCACACGTGTGAGGGGTGTGCCCACACGGGTGGGGCCGGCGCCTGTGGACATGGCCACTGGGGCCTTCGATGGAGCTCCCTAAGGCACAACGAAACAAAACGAACGGGGGTTGCACCGAAATGGGTGGGGCGGCCGCATGTGGTCATGGCCGCTGGGGCCTTCGGTGGAGCTTCTTCTGGGGCCACGAAGCGCGTGAGGGGCGTGCCCATATGAGAGGCGCGGCAGCAGTGGACATGGCCACTGAGGCCTTCAGTGGAGCTCCCTGAGGCACAACGAAACGTGTGGGGGGTGCGCCGAAGTGGTTGGCTGATGCAGAGAGCAGACATCAGGAGGGGGAGGGAGGGAAGCAGAGGAGGAAGGACGCCGGGCGCCGTCCATCCAAAACGAAGACCCAACAGCACAGGATGATTGGGCAAACAAAACAAACTATACTTTCCCTCAAATCTGGAGCATGCGCGGGCACCCCCTGACCCAGCTGCATGCTTTTTTTGATCGGGACGTCGGGGGTGTCCTCAGATTGCTCGCTCCACGAAGGCCAACCATCTCTTAAGAACAGTACGAAGTACACTTCGCCTCCAAATCTGGAGTATGCGCGGGCGCCCCGCGACCACTTTGTCTTGGTGTTTGGCAAAGATCTACCTATGTGTTGGAAGGTCGGGTGCCAGTGATCGAGACGGCTTCTACCCTATGGGCAGAAGGTGCCCTGATCTCTATCCTTTTCCCTATCCCTCAGTTCATCCTCTTCCCAAAATCATTATCCTATTTCCCTGGCCCTATCTCGATCCCCGTCCCCATCATGTCCCTAGCCCTATATCCCTGCCCTGCCCCAATCCCTATCCAGATCGCTATCCCCCTATCGTGGCACCCCCGTCGCGGCCCCCCATCGTGGCACACCATCGTAACTGCGTCACGCTGCGCAGGAACTTCTGCCGAAAGGATGACATCCTGTGGCGCCTGGATCTCGAGCCCCCCAAACGTGCGAAGATGCGAGTCCCGAAACACCTTCTGTGCAAGGATCCGCGCGATCCAAGGTCGGTGGCCCGTGGTCTCGCGCCATAGCCCATGGTCTCTGGCCGGCCGTGGTCCGTTGGTCCCTGGTCGTGGCCCGTGATCCCTGGCCGTGGCCCACTGCCTCCGGCCGTGGTGGCTGGTCGTGGCCCGCAGTTCCGAGTCGTGGCCCGTGGCCCGTGGCCAATGGCCTCCAGGTTCGTCTCGGGTGTGCCCGTGCGGATCAGAGTGCGAGGCGCGTGCGCGCATCCAAACATGCATATCTGCAGGTATGTCGGCCAGCGTGGGCCCCAAACAGCGGGCTTCTAGCAACCTATGCTGTGCAGCATGTGTGGTGCCATCTGCGTGAGTCAATCTACATGGTGCAGTCTAGCTTGTGCATCGTATGTTGTGCCGTATAGGTTGAGCCACCTATGTTGTGCAATACGGGTGGTGCGACTTATGAGGTACACTGTTTGTTGTGCCATCTGGGTGGAGCAAGACTTGTAGTGTAATCTAGCTGGTGCCACCTACGCTGTGCAGTCTGGTGTGCAACCTATGAAGCGCAATATACGTAGTGCAGTTTCTGTGGTGCAACTTACGCGAGGCAAACAATATGGTGCAGTCCAGCATGTTCAATATACGGTGAGCAGTCGATGTTGTATAGTATAGGTTGTGCATAAATGTGGTGCAACATATCATGTGCAACTTGCGCAGAGCAAAGACATGCAACGCAAAGCAATGCAAAACCATGCAACGCAACGCAAAACATAGCAAACCAATCTAAACCAACACGCAGAAATGCACAGCAATGCAAAGAAAGCAATGGAAAGCAACGCAAAGCAATACAAAGCAACACAAGACATCTAGCTGGTGCAATCTGACGGCGGCGACGAGCGGCGACGGGGCGACGACAGCGACAACATAGCTGCGAGACCGACAGGCAGGCCCAGCCCAATTACGGGCGTCGACGAGGCGGCGACGGGACGGCGACGGCGACAACACAGCCGCCAGACCGACAGACAGGTCTTTAGACTCGAGCCCTTCCCCGGGGGGTTCTCGTTCCAGATCAGTTTTCGACAGCCCTAGTGCCCGTAAACTTCCAGCGGAAACAACAATTGATGCAACACGCAGCGGCTGCCAAAAGAAAAACCTCAAGAAATCTTGGTCCATGCTGTCTCGACTTGTCCAGTACCCTTTCCCAAGGTCTCTTATCACCCGGAATAACTATTTCACGGTCCCGGGGCCTGGCGAGTGCCCCCAGAGGGCAAACACGGGAATCGATTGTGTTCCACACGCGTGAAGCGCATGAAGCGCCGGCTGGAGGCGGCTCTAGCGCAACAGCCAGTCACAGAATGGAGCAGCAGGCGCAACCGCCAGAGAGATTCGCTCTTTCGTATGCTTGGCGACCCAGTCGCGCGCGCCATCGAGGCCGACCGCTTCAGAGGTGGGCCGATTGAATCTGTGCCTGTCAGCGCGGAGTTCTTCGTGAAGGCCTTCGCGAACGAGATCTGACGGTGCTCTTCCCTTCTGCCCCCTTTTCCCCGCCCCCTTTCGCTCCCCGCCCCTGCCTGCCCGAGAAGCCATCCACGCAAGACGATCGCGGGGTTGCCCTGGTGCCGGAAGCACGGGCCAAGTTTTCCCCCCCGAGTTCTGGAGTGCCACGGCCTTCGGGCCGATTCGGGAGTAGCATAGCGTAGCGGCGGATCTCTGAGGTCAGGGCAACCCATGAGCGCCCCACGAGACCCCAGGCCTCTCGCGCGGCCTTGACCAGCGCCTGGGCCCGCAGGCCAGTGGAGCGCCGCTGCCCGCGCAGGAACCCCTGAGCCCAAACATATCGGCGTCTCGCTTGTTCGGTGGCGCGTGCAAGGTGGTATGGGGGTAGGGGGAATGCTTCTCGGGAGGCTGCTTCTTAGAAGGCGCTGACCCGACATCTACAGATAAAGCCCGCGCCTTCCAAGGAGCAGCTTGCTTCTAAGAAGCGTCCCCCCCTCCCCTACCTCCTTGTGCGCGTGGCCGACTTGTACTTCCGACGCCCTCTGCCGAGCTCTGCCGCCAGCCGCCGGCCGGCCGCCCGCCCGCCCTCCGCCTGAGGAAGCGGAGGCAGGGATCCCTCGCACGGCGATGCCCTGCCCAGAGCACCCGCAAACCTCCGATGTCTGGACCTCTGCGCTGCGGGGCCCCTGGCCCTCCGGACCACCTCCAAACCCCCCGCCCCGGACAATTCTTGAGGGGGGCTCCCGGGCCCGGTGAGGGGCCCCGTGCATAAGCCCAAGACGACGGACGCCCCCCGTCTCGACCTCCTCAAGGCGCGGAAGGGTTTTCGGCGCCGTGGAACCTCGGGCCTCCCGCGCGGTCTCGTCCAGCGCCAGGCCCGCTGGCCACTGATACGCCGATCCCGCGCTGCTCGCGCCCCCGCCCGCGGTGGCGCTGGCCCCGTCCTCTGACCCAGGGAATTCCGAAACCACCCACACGCGTCCGCCACGTGATCGTCGAAATTCGAACAGAAACGCCCCCACACTTTGGCACCCTCGGTTTTCGACGCCCGAGCACGGCACGCGAGATCTCTCTCTCTCTCTCTCTCGTTATCTGTATCACTCACTCTCTCTCTCTCTCTCTCCCCCGATATATATATATAGATATATAGATGTCCAAACTCATACATCGCTAAGCACACATAATCTACAATCAAGTATAAGCATATGCACAGACACATACATATACACATACATGTACTTATCGCAAGCAAATACACCTGCACACAATGGCACTGGCATGTACACATACATCTACATATACATTTACATCTGCATGTACAGAAACAAATACATACACGTACACAAGCATACATATATGTTCACGGGCATATGCTTATACACATGCATATACATATACCTATGCATGCGCATATACATTTATATATACATATATACATAGAATCATACATATACAATTGAACCGATGTATACATATACATGTGCATACCCACATGGATATACATGAAATATACACATGCCTATACATATGTATGTCACCAAGCATATCTATATCCATATCCGTATCCATATCCACATACACAGACACATACATACACATATTCATACAATGAATACATACAAGCACGAACATATACGTGCTTACATACGTACATACAGACGAACAAATATATCCTTAGACATCCCCGAGCCGTGTTTGCACGGAAGGCCTTTTCTGTGTGTTCTAACGAAATGTGTTGATGTGCAGCTCTGGCGTGTGACCGCCGTCGCCGCCCGTCGTTTGGGCCGTTGTGCTGCTCAGGCGGCGATGTGCCCGCCGTCGCTGCCTCGTCGCCGCCCCTGGTCTGGGACGGTGTGCCGCTCTGGCGGCGATCTGGCCGCCGTCGCCGCCCCGTCGCCGACCGCCGTCGCCTCGCATAGATTCTCCTTTCTAAGAAACTATAAGAATCTCACTCCCCACCCAGGCATGGACAACTCACCCTCTCGTAGTGCAATTAAAATACGATTATGCCCCATCGTCCATCCTAAAGTTGCACCCATACCATCCCAGGCAGGCTGGTATCCGCCCCCCTCATCCTCAGCCAAAATATACTATGTGAGCGCTCTCGTTGATCCAAAGCACAAGTTGTCAACAACCCTTGCAATTGCAAAACAAAAAATACCCTGCGACGTACCCAACCCATGCGCATCAAGTGGCAGGATGAGTAGGCCACCATTAGCAGGCAAATCGACAGTGTAGACGCGGTGAATTGCTGCGCAAACTACATGGGATGCGCATGCGTTGCACGACTCACAGGACGACGACCGAAAGAACGAGGATTGAGGCCCCTGGCTCGAAGAATAACAGGGACAGGAACGAGGGGCACGAGCAGGATGGAATGGCGAGTAATCTGAATCTGCGTATGACGTCACACCGCTGGGCCCCCCGGCAGCTCTCGAAAGTGGCGACCGTTTCGCAGATCGCGGCCCCCCAGGGGTGGCGAGATCGAATCTGAATCTGCGTATGACCCCACACCGCTGGGCCCCCAGCAGCCCCCGAAAGTGGCGACAGTTTCGCAGATCGCAGCCCCCCAAGGGTGGCGAGGTCGAATCTGAATCTGCGTATGACCCCACTCCGCCGGGCCCCCCAGCAGCCCTCGAAAGTGGCGACAGTTTCGCAGATCGCAACCCCCCTGGGATGGCGAGGTCTAATCGGAATCTGCGTATGACCCCACTCCGCTGAGCCCCCCAGCTGCCCTCGAAAGTGGCGACAGTTTCGCAGATCGCAACCCCTCAGGGATGGCGAGGTCCAATCTGAATCTGCGTATGACCCCACTCCACTGGCCCCCAGCAGCCCTCGAAAGTGGTGACCGTTTCGCAGATCGCACCCCCCAGGGATGGCGAGGTCTAGTCTGAGTCTGCATATAACGTCACTCCGCTGGGACCCCCAACAGCCGTCGAAAGAGGCAACAGTTTTGCAGATCGCAGCCCCAGAAAAATTACAAGGTCGAATCTGAATCTGCGTAAGACGTCACTCCGCCGGGCCCTCCAGCAGCCCTCGAAAGTGGTGACAGTCTCGCAGATCGCAGCCCCCAAATGGTGGCGAGGTCTAATCTGAATCTGCGTATGACCCCACTCCGCCAGGCCCCCCGGCAGCCATGGAAAGCGGTGACCGTTTCGCAGATCGCAACCCCCCAGGGGTGGCGAGGTCTAATCTGAATCTGCGTATGACCCCACTCCGCCGGGCCCCCCAGCAGCCTTGGAAAGTGGTGACCGTTTCGCAGATCGCAGCCCCCGCTGGGCCTCCCAGCAGCCCCCGAAAATGGCGACAGTTTCGCAGATCGCAGCCCCCCTGGGATGGCGAGGTCTGGTCGGAATCTGCGTAAGAGGTCACTCTGCTGGACCCCCCAGCAGCCCTCGAAAGTGGCGACCGTTTCGCAGATCGCAACCCCACAAAGATGGCGAGGTCGAATGTGCATCTGCGTAAGACGTCACTCCGCTGGACCCCCCAGCAGCCCTCGAAAGTAGCGACGGTTTCGCAGATCGCAGCTCCCCAAGGGTGGCGAGGTCGAATCTAAATCTGCGTATGACCCCACTCCGCCGGGCCCCCCAGCAGCCCTCGAAAGAGGCGACAGCTTCGCAGATCGCAGCCCCCCAGGGATGGCGAGGTCGAATCAGAATCTGCATATGACCCCACTCCACTGGGCCCCCAGCAGCCCTCGAATGTGGCGACAGTTTCGCAGATCGCAGCCCCCCTGGGATGGCGAGGTCGAATCTGACTCTGCGTAAGACGTCACTCCGCTGGTCCCCCCAGCAGCCCTCGAAAGCGGCGACAGTTTTGCAGATCGCAGCCCCCCAGGGGTGGCGAGGTTTGATCTGAATTTGCGCATGCCCCCACTCAGGCCCCCGAGCCCCCCGGCAGCCCTCGAAAGTGGTGACAGCTTCGCAGATCGCAGCCCCCCAGGGGTGGCGAGGTCGAATCCGAATCTGCGTATGACCCCACTCCGCCGGGCCCCCCAGCAGCCTTAGAAAGTGGTGGCAGTTTCGCAGATCGCCCACTCCACTGGGCCCCCAACATCCGTCGAAAGTGGCGACCGTGTCGCAGATCGCAGCCCCCCTGGGATGGCGAGGTCTAATCGGAATCTGCGTAAGACGTCACTCTGCTGGACCCCCCAACAGCCCTCGAAAGTGGCGACCGTTTCGCAGATCGCAACCCCACAAAGATGGCGAGGTCAACTATGACTCTGCGTAAGACGTCAATCCGCTGGGCCCCCCAGCAGCCCTCGAAAGTGGCGACCGTTTCGCAGATCGCAGCACCCCAGAGGTGGCGAGTTCTAATCTGAATCTGCGCATGACCCCACTCCGCCGGGCCCCCCAGCAGCCCTCAGAAGTGGTGACAGCTTCGCAGATCGCAGCCCCCCAGGGGTGGCGAGGTCTAGTCTGAATCTGCGTATGACCCCACTCCGCCAGGCCCCCCAGCAGCCTTAGAAAGTGGTGACAGTTTCGCAGATCGCCTACTCCACTGGGCCCCCAGCAGCCCTCGAATGTGGCGACAGTTTCGCAGATCGCAGCCCCTCAGGGATGGCGAGGTCTGATCGGAATCTGCGTAAGAGGTCACTCTGCTGGACCCCCCAGCAGCCCTCGAAAGTGGCGACAATTTCGCAGATCGCAACCCCCCAGGGACGGCGAGGTTTAATCTGACCCTGCGTAAGACGTCACTCCGCTGGGCCCCCAGCAGCCCTCGAAAGCGGTGACAGTTTCGCAGATCGCACCCCCCAAGGGATGGCGAGGTCTTATTTGAATCTGCGTCCGCTGGGCACCCCAGCAGCCCTCGAAAGAGGCGACAGTTTCGCAGATCGCAGCCCCCTAGGGATGGCGAGGTCGAATCTGAGTCTGCGTAGGGCGTCACTCCGCTGGACCCCCCAGCAGCCCTCGAAAGTGGCGACACTTACACAGATCGCAGCCCCACAGAGATGGCGAGGTCGACTCTGGCTCTGCGTAAGATGTACCCCGCTGGCCACCAAGGGGGATGCTAGAGGCCCTCTTGGCGCCGCCGCTCTCCAGGGGCGCGAAGCTCTTGCCCGTCGTGCCCGCGAGGTCGACGAGGGCCCAGCGCGCCTCGTCCCACGCGAATGGCGAGGGCGATGCCGAAATCCAGCGGGGCAAACCGGAGGCTGACGCCGATGATCGTAAATGGCAGCGGCTGCGGCACGGGGGTGCGAGAGCGCCATTTGGCCAGGCGGCGGAACGCCTCAAGCGCGGCTCGAAACTGCACGGGGCCCTGGGGGCCGCGCCGAACAGCCAGCGGACCGTGCCAACCGATGGGCGCCGGCAGCTTGTCGCATCGCTCGCGGTTGCTGCCCGCGAAGAAGAGCCAGCCCGCGTAGCGGGCCGCGGCCAGGTCCAGCGCGGGCCCAGGTGCGGGCCGTTTGTCCCTCTCCCTGAGCCACTGGTGGAAAGCCCCCCGCTCTTTTGCGATGTAGCGGGCGGTGCCCCTCTGAACGCGGTGAGCCTGCAGGAAGGTGAGGTTGGTCGGCTCCCAGCCATCCAGCGCTGACACCTCCGCTCGCCTAACTGCATCCCGAGCGGCACCTTTCTCGCTCGACGCGAGGGCCGGCAGCTTGCGAAGTTGAGGTAGAGATCGACGCGCTCGTCGCCTGAGGAACAGGGCGAGTTGGAACCCTCGCCAGCCGCCCACGCACCGCCTCCCCGCACTCGAGGTCGGCAAGGCCAGCCGCTTACTCCGCGCCTCTATCGTCGAGAGGCACGGCCCCGCTACGGGCGATGTCCTCGACGGCCTCCTCTAGCCGAGACTTGGCCACGGATGGCGACGGGGGCGGCCGGGGGCGCGCGGGCCGAGCGGCGACGGCGGCGTCGGCATTTCGCAACCCAAACGCAGCACGCCGTCGATCGAGGCGGAGATCCCGGGACACATCGCCCGGCATCCTGGAGGGCCGGTCGGCCAG